TGATAAGTCTTTGTAAATTTCTTTGCGTCTTCTGCAAAACAACAACGTGAAATGACCCAAATTTGCGTTGTCTAGAGAACGTGAACGACAACGGCTAATTTTTCAAATTTCTAAACGTAACTTAAAGCTGTGTTCCATAATTAGTTTCAAGATAGTTTTGACAGTGAGAAACAAACTGAATGACGTCGGAGTATCATAAGAGTCGTAGGTAAAACATAACTTCATTTTTAACCGACGTTGTCCCCGGCGTCGCCGTCGTCGTTTCTTAAACTCCCTAAATGACGAAGGAACAACGCTCCAAGTGTCAGCATTAGAAATCCTTTATAGTGGTCAATTAATATAATAATAATAATAATAATAATAATAATAATAAATAATAAATAATTTAGCAATGGACATTCCACTGGGTGGCTCTCCCCTATCACTGTTTCCATATCGAATTGGAATTTGGAATGTTGGTTTACATTATCAACTCCGTTGATGAAACCAAATTATAAAGTTTGAGGAAGATCGGGTACAAAGCTTGTTATAGATATGGTTTTATCGCGCTTACGTTTACTTATTGTAGCAATATGTATATTATGTATGTTATGTATATTTATTTTTGTAATAAATTTTGCTGTTTTTCCATGTTTAGTTGGCAGCTGCCGGTCATACTCCTGGGACAAACAGTTATACCTCGTTTTGGAATCAGGCCGAGGACAAGTTTGCGCTGGCAGAAGAAAACACTGTCATAAGTCTGAAAGACTTACTGGTCACCAAAGACGAGGTACAGTTCGATTCGGGTGAAATGTGTAACGAATTAATAGTTGATCTCTTAGAGGCAAAACGTATTGGGTGTCAGCAAAGCTTGTTAGGTGTGGTGTTGAAATATTGATGAGCTGTAATTAAGGATAAAGCCCCTTGAATTTTGCTGGTGAAATTGCTACAAAAAAGATACCATGTTCTGCCATGGTTTGCCGTTAACAATTGAACAACGATAAAATCAGACTCAGAACAAATAAGCTAGCGGGCCGATTTGCCGGTATTTCCCTAAAAACATATCTCTTGAACAGTTGGCCAGGTTTTATTTAATAAAACTGACTGCTTTGCTTTTTAGATTATAAAGAGACTGAAGAGGGCTGATTTTGGTAAAGGTACATTCCTTCTCTTTTGTTTGATTTGAGTACAGTGAAGCCTGTGTCAAGCAAGTCCCATATTTTCCCTCCCGTTTTCGCAGTAAAATGAACCTTATTCAGCGGTCTCCTCTCTGAAGCTAGGGAGGATAACAAAATTTAGGGGGAAGTTTATTCCAGAAAAATGTAATTGCTTGTCTTTTTTGGTCGTCAGGAGTAAAGTTTTCTCCAAGTACCAAAGAATTTACTGTGTCAGTGCCTAGGAAAGGAAATGCCGTCTTCAACATGGAAAAGAAGGTATGAAGCCTTTGTCACAGAACGTTTCTCTTTTATACATTGTAAAAAAAAATGATTCAAGCAGGAGATGACACTTTTCAGTTCTGTAAACATGTCACGACATTATCTAAACGTATTACGTACATATACGTATGATGTACGATTCTTCGCAGTAGATAGCGCTATTTATGCAATAGCGAAAATCAGACCTGAAAAAAATCAGGCCTGTACGGGATTCGAACCACTGACCTCTGCGATACTAGTGCAGCGCTCTACCAATTGAGCTAACAAGCCAACTGGGAGCAGGCCCTTAAGTTGATTCGTAATAAACCCGTGATGATAAATCAGATACAATGAATATATGAAGTTCATATATTTTGAACTGCGGTATTAAATACGTATGTATGTATAAATAGCGCTATCTACTGCGAAGGATCGTACATCATACGTATTTAATACCGCAGTTCAAAATATATGAACTTCATATATTCATTGTATACGTACATATACTTTATGATATTTTCTCCGAAAAGAGATCAAATTTGTAATCTCCAGTTGCAAGCACTCACTTCCCTGTCAAAGGTTTATTTTAAATTTTCACGTAATTTTCTTTCTAGGAAGACTTTCTTCTCTTCGCTGAGGTCGATGTCATCCTTCAAATACTTGAAAAGGTGAGAGATTTAAGAGTCTTTCACCTCAGAATAGAACCTTCAACAATGACGGGCAAAAATGTTTTGCCCTTATTTGCTTGCTAATGAGCCTCTTGGGTTCGTTTTTGAGGTGAAAATTGCATTATTTCTGCTCTTAATGGCGAAAGGAGGATGGCCAATTTAAATATATATATAAAGGAAAACAGCAGTAAGGTACGCCATTTTGAAAGAGGTATATTTATTCCTTAAGAATCTCACAATTTCAGGACATCTTTAAAATTCCTTGTTTTTGTTTTTCAGTTAAGCTCTGATCCTAACCTTGTGCAAGATGGCGTTCCAGATGTGTTCACTTTGGGCCTCTCTTCTGTTAAGGTTAGGTTTTGCGTAAGCACTGTCAAACGCAACTTTGAGGGCCACAGAGCAATTTTTGTTTGTTGGTCTGTGTTTGTTTGATTGATATTTTTTGTGTGCATTTTTTCCTCTTTCCTTTTCGATGCACGTGCAATTTCTCCTTGAAATATCTCCTTTGAATCAAACATTGACGTCATGGAAATGAAGAATTATCGCCAAATAAAAAAGCTGTCGACTGTTTGACAAATTCTACTTGATAATACCACAGGAAATGTGCAGAGAAAAGTGTGAAGAATATGCATAGTGATGTTAGGGGGTAAACGGTTGAAATAAATTGAATTAAATATCAAATTGTCGTGCTCCACTATTGTGCTATTCATTGACTTGTTCTGTTTTTTTTTTCTTCATGCAACCAATGGTTTCTACTCATCGCTTGTTACAGGGACTTCGCCGTCGCTATGGTGACAAATCTTTACAAGCGGAAGGAGCTGTCCAATTTTTGAAGGAAATTATTCCACAGGTAGAGATCATTAAAGGGTCTTGTTTGTTTTTGTTGTTGTTGTTGTTGTTCCATTCTTCATTCTTTTCTTTACAGAACCCGGCACCTTTTCCAGTGTTCCGCTATTCAGGCGCTAACCAGTTTCAAAATGCTATCTAACGATGATTAGTGTAATTTAAGTAAGAAAGTGGGACTTGGCAATTTTTTTTTAGCTCTATTTTACTAACTTTTGTGTATTATTCTTAGTCGCTTTTAGTCGTGTTCTAAATTTTTTTTTTTTTAGTTCTATTATTAAAACAGGACTCCCCTGAAAACCACCAATAGGTGGTTATTATTATTGTTATTGTTATTATTATTATTATTATTATTAAGGATCTTATCTTAATTTGTTTGAACATATTTTTGATGATTCGAGTGAATTATCGTTATCGTAGTGTGTATCCTCTGGTTTTTCTTACATTTTTTTTCGATTTTCAAACATTTTATCATAATTTTTGTTATAATTTTTTGATTATGGTAAATAAAGGATTATATTTAAAAAAGAATTATTATTATTATTATTATTATTATTATTATTATCATCAGTAAAATTTACCACCTGTAGTACCTCTTATTTACCGCTTAAAATCGCTTGGAATTCTTGTAAATTCAAGAGGTTAAAAGGATTTCTCTACCTGTTTGTAAATTTCTTCCAATTGTCGTGCTTAAAAAATAAGGGAGAGCACTGCCTTACCGTTCAATGTTGAACCTTTCTATTGCACTAATTTATCGTGACAGATTGTCAAAAAATTCTCCGATTTGTACAATGGGAATGTTCTGGTGGAAGTTTTGTCGTTGGAGTGGCTTGGGTGAGCTGTTGGTATTTTCTTTCTATATTTTAAGTTTTCTGTTTACTGTGCGAGAAAATTAATGAATCGCGGGAGATGATGTTGCTAACCTTTTTTTTTTTCTTTTTTTTGATTCCCCCTCCCCTCCCCTCCCCTCCCTTCCCCTCCCTTCCCCACAGTGATCTTCAAACGAGATACCCACGAGAGGTGCACGTCGTCTATCAAGAAGTCCAACCTCACCTGGTGTCACAGTCAAGGGACCTTTTCCATGACCAGCTGCCCTCTGTTACACTTAGGCATGATCTAGTGAGTATTAGCGGTTATTCCTTTGGTTTATTTGTTGTTGTTGTTTTTTGTGCGAGTGTATCTTTAAGGATCTATGACTTGGAATCAGCAACATAGAAGGCAAGAGTGAAAACTGCCACGCCCCTCAGATTACCCACCCCTATTTCCCTCCTTCCCTCCCTTTCTCTTCCTGTTCTACTCGAACACAGTCATGTTAAAATTCCTTTTTATCATGCTAAATTTTCATTTGGTTTTATTACTAAACAGGAGGAACAAGCAAAGCAGTCGTTGTGCGCGTCTTTGCACAATAAACTTCTTTCGACACAGTCTCCACTCAAGGTTTGTGTTTGATTGATTTTTTTTTTTTTTTTTAAGTTATCGATTTTCTTCTCTTTCCTCGTCCCAAGAACAACTTTATTTGTCAGGTAGCTCTAGTTCTTATCATTATGGAAAACATGGATCGATAAATTCACAAACTTCCTATAATGATAAAATTTATCAATACCTTCGTAAAATCAGCGACTGCCTTCTTTGGATTGTATTTATCCAGCGTATGCACAGGCTCCTCCTTGAACACCAGTATGCCTTTTGCAATTTTTCCTCTGCGCGCCCCTTTCCAGCATTTTCTGTGTACTTTTAGATTTTTTTCTTTAAACTTAATCCAATTTTTTTACCAAAAAGAAAAATGGCAATAGTGAAATTATCCGTCTAACTTCTTCACCAATGTTTTTGCTAGGTGTATTGTAATGGAAAGCCCAGGCTCCGGCGTTCAGTGGACAGTGACTCGCAATACCAGGTAGGAATACATTAAGGTCAAAGCAACTAGATTTCTTTTACGTGGGATGGATCAAATCCTAGTTTGCAATTGGCAGATGACGTCTCATCCTCGGAGACCCAGGGGGGGCGAGTCGATTTCAAGTTAGGGCAGAAGAGTCCTTGGGGACATTGTCTTACAAGACTAGTTCCAATCGGTCGCAGTCGTTCTGGCATCTGATCGGTGCCAGAAAATCTTTGTGTTTTTCTGCCCAATCAGAGTGAAGTGTACATTAGAGTCCTTTCGTGTGTTTTAACACGGACATATACAAGAAGCTGTGTTCCTCGCCATGATTGTTTGGGCCGTACGACGGAGAATTGCTCTAGGTGAAAAGTTTCAGTCTCAGCACACAATGTAACAGAAATCGATCAGATTGTCCGCGAAAATCTTCCGGAAATTATACTCAATACTTTCGCAGGTATCACAAGAGAACGTGTTTAAAAGTTTGCGAGGTTCGTATAAAACATAATGGTTGCAAGCGTTAATATGTCTCTGTAAACGTTAGACGAGATGTAGGCTTAAATCTTTCTAGACTTTTTGTGTAATATGCTGTAACTGAAACTTTGCCAATCCCGTGAAGTTGTTCGTCGCACGGGCCACGCAGGTATGTCGAGCAACTGGCACTTACGCCGCTTTCTGTGCGCGCCAAAATCTAATCTAATCTTCGCATAAAAAAAAAGAAAAGCTAAGCGTGGAAACGTTTGTTTATTGGATGTGGGTAGATGACCCTGTAATAAGGTGACATTTACAATAACGCAAACCCGCCCTTTCCATCCAATATTTCATGGTCTTTGGTTTTGTTTTCCCCAATGAAAGCAGCACCGATTCCTAGTGATCAAAGGTATTTAACTTGGTCTACAACAATCGACAGAAGAGGTGAAATGACAATGACCAAGGGACTAGAAGAGAATCCGTGGCCTTTCGAGCTCAAGAATTTGAACACTCTAGGCAGCAGTTGAAAGATTAAGCTCTTTCCAAACCCCTTCGGGAAACCTTGATGAAGTTTAAAATTTGAATTATTCACCCGTGCCTACTACTAAAAAAAAGTCCATTTATTGATATGTTTCTTACTCATCTTTGTTATCGTTTAATAGGCTGGTTCCAACATTGACTTGGGTAAAGTGAATTTGGCCCCTGAATACTCCAAGGACTATCCCATAATATTTAACATCTCGCTGTGGCTTCTTGTAGTCCTAGTTCTTTCCTTATATGTAGTATGCCTGGTGATGTGGTACATGGACCCGGGTCGTGACAGCATTATTTATCGCATGACCAGTCAGAGAATTAAGATGGAATGACACGCTTCTCAAAGAATAGAAACTTTTGGAAACGACAGAATTAAAACTGATTGACACACATTTGAAGTTATCGCGCGGGAAAGTTGAGTATCTAATGCAGCAGTGACGGAGAGTTGTATAGTTTTTTTTCCTCTACCGAATGGAAATTGTTTTCAAAGTACAATCATTTTAGTAAGTTTTTGTGCAGTTGGATTCAGTGGCATCCGGAATATCTTTTGTGCCGTTGCCTTGGTTTTCATTTTGATAATTATGTAAGGAAATCGTATTAAATGTCTTTCAATTATCGTACTTGGCTTAGTTAATTATCCTAAATAACTTCAGTGGATCATGATCACATGTAATTACTGGATCAATGGCACAATCAGCTGAGCCATAACGGACCTACCCCTCCCCTAAACAAAAAAAGTCAACTGATGATGTTGAATCAGGGGATGGTTAATGCCAGTTGCTCAGATATTAGCACTGATCCTGAATTCTCATGTACTCAACGATGATGCATCTCATGTCAAGAAGATTGATTTTCGATCGTCATAAATGATGCTACTAACATTTTTGCTCCGGTTACCCTTTACTGAAGACTGTAATCAACAGAAGATAGTCACAATAGACTCTTCTTTGTTCTCGTCATGATCACCACAAACTTTTTTAATCTTCGATCAAAAACGATTGTAATCAAAAGAACGCAATCATGATAAACTCTCAAATTAACATTCACTGAGCGTAGTCCTGATCAGAATGGAGTGACATGCTACTGTTTTAGAGAATAGGGTCACTTTCGTCGCTTTCGCATACCTGTCGTGGTCGTCCCAGTATTTTCTAAGCTTATTGACTCTACTTAACCGACGAACTGCTTGACAAGATCAGCGTGGTTGAAGATGGTGCAGTCACTGAGAAACTATGTGAACTCCTCATCTAGCCGAGAATTACGTCATTAGGATCGCCCCTTGTAAATTCTTGAATTTACCTAAAAAGGAAAAACAAAGAAAGAAAACGTATTTATCTGCCTGAGAGTGACGTCAGTAGGATCACCTCTGCTATTACTTCCTCAAAAGGAAACGGAAAGGAAACAAATATCTCTGTCTGCATGCGCATGCACGTTTGATATGTACGCATTACCTCAGAACGCGTATTTTCCAACCAGTTGACTGACTGACGCTAACTACTTTTTCAAAAAAGGTTATTAGTTTTTTTTTTTTTTTTTGGAGTTTTTTTGCAGCAGTATGCCTGAGGTCTGACGATTTTCTTTGCTCAATCCAAGCCCTTCCCCCCACAATACGAGGTCCCAGGCGATTAAAGGACTCAAAGACGTTGACAGTGAAATTAGCGAAAATAAACATCATTGATAGGTTGTCGGAGTCGTTTCCTTGACGCCATCGGTATTCGAAAATTTTTTCACTTAATTTACCAGCTGTGGAAACATTGACTTTAACTGTCAGAACACTTCAAGGATTATATCTCGTGAGATTACCTCAACACAAGTAAAGACTGCACTGATCAAGGAACCGGAATTGTGTCGAGGCTATTTTTCCAGGCAACTCAGTTCTTGATTGTTCTTTCAAGCCCATCTGTTATCAATTTATCGCGTGGCGGAAACAATCCCTTCAAGAACTGAAAACAAATCCCACAGACCTTTCAACTAGATAGGCGGTAACAACGCGAGTGAGTCAGTTGTAGTCGGCGTTCCTCTTGTTATTCGAAGTCCCTCTGGTCCCCTTCACAAGCCCTGCAGTAAGATGGCTTTCAAGACATTCGTTGGACTACTGACAATTTTGTCGTGTATAACAGTAGGTGAGTATAATGAATCTTGATTTTAATGAAATATTCTGTTATCTTAATGGTATTTGAAAGCACCTCGCCGAAAATATTTTCTGTTTGTTTACGGAAATTAACTTCGCGCTTAACCATGAAACGAAGCCATAATAAAAATAATCTTCCCTTTCTCGTTTACCAATGCAAAAACGCCACAGCAAGAGCTATGTACTCTGTAGTCTGTATGTGTACCTTCTATGGATTTTTGAAAAGAGCTGGACCTTGTTGAGTTGGGGTCACACCAGTATGATAATGTTTCATCTTCGGGTATGCCACGTTCCTTTATTTCTTTGTGTTTAGCTGTTTGTTGTTTTTTAACTTCCCATTACGGTGGAAATTGGTTTAAGGCTGTTAAAGGCTTAATTTCTATGGAGGAACAGGAAAAAGCAACCTGGCTTTAGCCCCACAAGATAATAACGCCAGACAGCTCTTAATACTTCATTCATGCCAGTTAATTTGCTTTGCGAAAGTGGACACTGAATCAAGTTGCGACATCAAAAGTTAAGTTCACATTTTGATTAAAATGTGAACCAAATCTGAGAATATACGTTGGAAATAACTTCACGTAAGTGATTCAAAGGGATGATACTGACATCAAATTATTCGTTTTCCGGCCAGCTTTGTTGAACTCCCTGCGGTAATTGACATGTCGTCTAACACATGTTTGACTTAACCACATGATCAACGGTGAGTTCATCACGCGATTAAATCATTCTTTATGAAAAACATTTTTTCAATATACAGATATGCTGCTCTTCACAGAAAAGTTTCGTCAAATCGATACATGAATAAGTTGCACTGTTCATAAGCAAGGGAGCGTCCTCGGTAAAGATAACCTATGTTTCCATTTGTGTATCATTGTGTAGATCGGTAACTCGAATTGCCAAGGGGAATTGAATTTACTTCGAGTTATAAGGGTTTCGAGTTATGGGAGTTTTGAACAAAAAGACTAGAAACACTTGATCAAAGTAATTTTATGCTTTTTCATATTTTATTGAAAAACGAGCATAAAAATGACAAAACAAACGTGTGATATCGACAAAGGCCAGTTGTCATAATATATAAATGACATAAAATGCAATCTACCGGTGCAAAATGTTATGTCTCATTAGTCCGCAAAAGTGAAAATCGATTTCGAGTTATGGAGGGTAAATTAAGAAGAAAAGTACCGGAAGGGAAGTAAAAGTCGCTTGGTGTTAGCGGGGTTTTGAGTTATCGGGTTAAAATTACAGTTAATATACGAGACAAATCCAAGGGAAATCAGTTTTGCTTCGAGATAGCGGGGAATTCGAGTTATCGGGGTTCAACTGTATTAAAAATATAAAAAACGTTTTCGTTTTAGGATGAGGAGGTCACTTTCAAGCGAGGATGAAATTTTGGGGTTTGGATTTTTGTTTTTCTTTATCTAAAGTGCTTTGCCCTCGATAGGCTTATTTACAACTTAGTTTGATCCAGTATAATCTTCAGCGGAACCGCATAATCCAATTGGAAATGTTATCCACCACAGAAAAATCGAGAACAAGCTGAAGGGAAAAGATCTCGACTCGTCTTCAGTGACAAGTTGATGACAAGTTTGCATAGACTTACGTCAGCATTAGATCGGATTACCCTCTATATTTACCCAGAGATATTTACCTAAGAAATGAAAAGGGTCGTGTTAGATTTCAAGCGTATTTTCACAAGGAGATTATTTAANCAGAGATTTTAATTACACACTTAAACGATTCGTGCCCATCCCTTTTTGTCATTAACATCCTGTTTCTCTCTAGGTTATTGCCTACAGTGCTACAGTTGCGTTCGTGAAGATAATCCAGACGCTGATGAATACTGCAAGGTATTACTTTCTAATGGACTGGGCAATAACACAGTGCAAAACTGCAGTGCCGAGGAGAATTCGTGTCGTATTGATAAAATCATTCGAGAGGACAAGAAGATAACTTTGTTTAAAAGACAATGCGCCAAAGCAGAAGACTGCACCAATAAATGTTCAAAGCCAGACGGAACAATCGGCGATATCATATGTGATTTGTGTTGTGAAGGGAACCTCTGCAACAAAGGACAAGGGCCCACACCGGAGTCAGGAGCATTAAGAATCGCGGTGATGAATGGCTTTTGTACCATTGGGGTCTTCTTCGTGTGGTTCATTTTGTAAACATTGTGAAAACTGTCTTTTTATGTACTTTTAGCTTTCCGTTTCTTAAGTCAGGTTCAATTCGTTGCATATGGCGAGATATATGATCGGGTGAGTTGACACCATAACGACAAGTATACGTAATCTTGTACCCAGACCGTTCCACGGCCACACTGTTCTTAAATTACACGGTATGACCTGGGTACGAAATTAAAGTATACGTAACTGGATCGGTGGCAGATGTATGGAAGGTCACGCATTTCTTTTGGCTCAAAAATTATGCTGGAATTAATTTCCTATGCGCCCCTATCTTCTTTATTTGAAGGACCTTTACTCATTGAGTCTTTACGTCTTGGATGCAAGACTACCTTGTAATACAGATAGAAGACTTTGACAAAGTTGCGCTAAGCTAAAGCTTTCTTCGTCTGGAGGCACACATTTCCTTGTAAATTAGTTATGAGAATCTGGTGTTAAATCAAGAAAACAACTGCTATACCCAGTTAAGGTGGCAGAACACAATTTTTGATACCCGTGTAATTTCTTTCACGTTTTCCTCTAAAACCCTTGATCTCGCAGTCGCCAAAAATGGCAGCATTAGCAAGTTAACAACACAAACTTTGGTTCTTTGATAGTTAAGCTGACGTATGTGTCATTGCCATGGCAACATGAATAAATATAAACAGGCCTTTAAAATTGGTTTTGGTTATTTGTAGAAAATTAGATTTTCTTTATAATTTGCATGCAACCAGATGGTGATGATACTCACAAGTTAACTCCATTTTGCTAACAATTTTACAGAGAGATCTTTTATTATCCCTTGTTGAAGGTTCACTGGATTATCTAGAATTTCCTTTGTTAAAAATCAATTTTTTCAATACTCCATGCAGTTACTTATTTCCTTAAGTATTTTCATGCCCAATTTCATGAAATTTGAG